CCTTTGACCTTGCTAGTAGAGCAGGACTTAATGGGATTTAAGCATAAGTACTGAATCCTCGACAGGACTTGCCCACGAGCCGGCAGCTCAGCATACGCGAGCAGCGACTCACGGGGCGGTGGCAGCGGGGGCGGCGGGAGCAGAAGCGGCACCAGGCCTGAGCGGTTAAAAACCTGCCCCAGGGAGGGAGAGCGACCAGAGGGCGAGGGGGCAGTGAGCGCTCACCTCATGATCAGGGTCCTGTCTGGGAGCTCTGCTTTGGCTGCCCCGGCGGTGGGCAGCGTAGCTACCCAGACAGAGCCGATGAGAAGGGAGGCTGCAGTGCAGAGCTCGGAGTGTAGAAAGCGCCTGCACTGGTCTGGTGAGGGAGTGCGCTCAATCGGCAGGGCTGCAGTCGGTGCTCCCTGGTGGAGGTCCTCCTGCAGCAGGGGCTGAGCTGCGGGACTCTGTCAATAGGCTGAAAGATGTCAGGGAAGCTGACAGCAAGCAGCAGTGCTTGCTCCAGGCCCAAACAGTGCAGGGGCCTCAAGCGTCCATCGTAGCTCATACAGGAAAGAAAGAGGCCGTTAACCCGGGAAGCTGGGAACCAGTAACAAAAAACAAACTAACAAAAAAACCCCAACAAAACAAACAAACAAAACACCAGAAAAAGGACAAAGAGGACAACTGAAAGCAAGAGTCTTCCTCCTGAATCTGTTGTTCCCACCCAGAACTTCTTTACAGTTCTGCAGGGGGCTAAGGAGGAAACACATACCATGAAAAACCGGCTGATGTACTGGTAAAGAAGATCACTACTGGTGCTGCCAGGAAAAAGCGGAGGGTCATGGTGGAAGGGGACTCTGCTTTGAAAGGCAGAGGCACCTATTTGTTGGCCTGACCCAGTCTCAAGGCAGGTGTGTTGCCTACCAGGGGCACGGATCAGCGATGTTGCAGAGAGGGTGCCTGGTCTAGTAAGTCCCACTGACTTACCCAGTTCTAGTGATCTGTGTGGGTGCTAGTGAAATAGATAGCAGTATCCTGGAGAACATAAGGAAGGACTACGGAGCCCTGGGAGAGGTGGTTAGGGGCTCTGGAGCTCAGATTGTCTTTTCATCAGTTCTCCAGGGTAAAGGGGAGGATCTTAAAAAGGCTAGACAGATTGGCCAGGTTAATAAATGGTTAGAACAGTGGTGCCATAGTCAGGGGTTTGGGTATCTAGAACATGGGACTCAATTTAGGAGGCCATGTCTACTGGGGGCTGGTGGAGCTGATCTGCGCGCAGTTTTGGTAGGAGGCTTGCCAGGCTAGTCAAGGATGCTTTAAACTAGATGTGTTTGGGGAGGGGGGCATCATTCCATCCGAACACACCCAGTCAGTTGCCAACACCTATAATACATGCTTGGAGTGATGCAGAGATATTTCAGCCACTCCAGCCAATGAGCTGGCTTCATTTGGAGCTCAGCTCAGAAGCCTCTATACAAATACCCATAGTATGGGGAATGAACAAACGAGAAGAATTAGAGATGTGTGCACGTCTATGGGGATATGATATCATTGGTATCGCAGAAACAGGGTGGGATGGCTCCTATGACTGGAGTGTTGGAATGGAAGGTTACAGGCTTTTTAGAAAAGAGTCCCAGCAGACGGGGGGGAGAGTTGCTATTTATGTTAGGGATAGGCTGGAGAATATGGAACTGTGTCTGGGGACAGGTGAACAGTCAACAGAGAGTTTGTGGGTCAGGGTCAAAGGGAGAACAGCGATGGGGGACATTATTGTGGGAATCTGTTACAGACCACGTGATCAAGGGGACTGTGTGGATGAAGGACTCTATAGACAGATAGGAACAGCCTCAATGCTCACAGGCCCTTGTTATCATGGGGGACTTCAACCACCCTGATATCTGTTGGAGGGACGGTAAGGCCCAGCACAAGCAATCCAGGAGGTTCCTTGATTGTATGGAAGACAACTTCCTTCTGCAAGTAATAGAGGAGCCGACAACGAGAGGTGCCATGCTTGACCTCGTGCTCACCAACAGGGAAGGGCTGGTTGGAAATGTGACACTCCAGGGCAGTCTTGGTTGCAGCGATCATGAGATGGTCAAATTCAAGATCCTCAGGACAGTGAGAAGAGTGTGCAGCAAGCCCACTGCCCTGGATTACAAGAGAGCAGGCTTTGGCCTCTTCAGGAACCTACTTAGTAAGGTTCCACGGGATATAGCCCTAGAGGGCAGGGATGACCCAGGGAACCGCAGACCAGTCAGTCTCACCTCTGTGCCTGGCAAAATCTTGGAGCAGGTTCTCCTGGAAGGCATGCTAAGGCACATGAAAAAACAACAAGGTGCTTGGTGACAGCCAGCATGGCTTCACTAAGGGGAAATCCTGCCTGACCAATTTGGTGGCCTTCTATGATGGGGCTTCAGAACTGATAAGCAGGGGCAGAGTAATTGATGTCATCTACTTGGAGTTGTGCAAAGCATTCGACGCTGTCCCACACGACATCCTTGTCTCTAAATTGGAGATACATGAATTTGATAAATGGACCACTTGGTGGATAAAGAACTGGCTGGATGGCCACACACAAAAGAGTTGTGGTCAACAGCTCAATGTCCAGTTGGAAACATGTAACAAGTGGTGTCCCTCAGTGTTGGGACCGATCTTGTTCAACATCTTTAGTGGTGACATGGACAGTGGGACTGAGTGTGTCTGTGAGCAAGAATGCTGATGACACCAAGCTGTGTGGTTTGGTTGATAGGCTGGAGGGAAGGAATGCCATCCAGAGGGACCTTGACACACTTGTGAAGTGAGCTGATGCCAACCTTATGGAGTTTAACCATGTCAAGTGCAAGGTCCTACACCTGGGTCAGAGCAATCCCAGACACAGCTACAGGTTGGGCAGAGAAGAGATTAAGAGCAGCCCTGTGGAGAAGGACTTGGGGGTGTCGGTCGATGAGAAAATGAACATGAGCCAGCAGTGTGCAGCCCAGAAAGCCAACCGTATCTGGGGCTGCATCAAAAGGAGCGTGACCAGCAGGTCGAAGGAGGTGATCCTGCCCCTTTATTCTGCTCTCATGAGACCTCACTTGGAGTATTGTGTGCAGTTCTGGTGTCCTCAACATAAAAAGGACATGGATCTGTTGGAACAAGTCCAGAGGAGGGCCACGAGAATGATGAGGGGACTGGAGCACCTCCCATATGAAGATAGGCTGAGAAAGTTGGGGCTGTTCAGCCTGGAGAAGGCTGTGTGGAGACCTCATAGCAGCCTTCCAGTATCTGAAGGGGGCCTGTAGGGATGCTGGGGATGGACTCTTCATTAGGGACTGTAGTGGTAGGACAAGGGGTAATGGGTTAAAACTTAAACAGGGGAAGTTTAGATTAGATATAAGGAAGTTCTTTACTGTGAGGGTGGTGAGGCACCGGAATGGGCTGCCCAGGGAAGCTGTGAATGCTCCATGCCTGGCAATGTTCAAGGCCAGGTTGGACAGAGCCTTGGGTGACATGATCTAGTGGGAGGTGTCCCTGCCCATGGCAGGGGGGTTGGAACTTGATGAACTTAAGGTCCTTTCCAGCCCTAACTATTCCATTATTCTCTTAATTCAAAGAGGTCTCTGCAAATAGCCTTGGAAATGTTTTTATCCTCCAAAGAAAAATAAATATTCAAATCTTACCCTCCTAGTACTGATATGAAGAATTCAGTCTTTTTCTTTTTTTTTTTTTTTTTGTGTATAGGTTTATCGTTTGATTTGACTTTAAGGTCCAATGTCAATTTGCAAGAATGATCCTTAAAGCTTTAGTTATCTCTTCAGGCCCATCTCCTCTGCGATTTGTTACTGCCAGCTAATTAAACCAATGTTGACAAAGGAGAAACTGAACCTGGTAATTCAATGTGGCAATAGCAGCCAGCACAGATCTACAATCTTCATTTTACACATTCACTTTTAAGCAGGAATTCTAATAAAGCCAAAAGGATCCTCAAGGTGTCAGTATAATCTAGCTGTACACTCAGCATCCAGATTCCCTACTTGGACTTCCTTTCTCCTCACAAGCTTGGACCTGGTGTCAGAGCAGAGGTCAAAGTTTTAGGCTTTCACCAAAGCTGTTAATTTTCTGTGAAATTTAGCCCCTGGCATTCTCCACTAGGATGTTGTACTGAAGCCTGGGGACTCTTTCTGACAAAATAGCCCTAATACAGTGACAACATTCAGGCTCGAAGCCAGAATTAATACCATTTAAACAGTTACATACTGCTATAATGCTTGTTAATCTCAGTGCAGAAGCACTTTCATTTTACCATCTACTTTCATAGGTCTGCTGGGTCCATTTTGCTGTTAGAAGGAATTTCATTCCTAATAAGCCTGCAGTGAGAGGGAGGGCTAAAGAGGGTGTACATACCATCTCTCTGCTTCTAATTACAAAGACTACAGGGTTTGATAACAAAATCTCCCTGTGCTCAGAGAATTCAGCCTCCCACAAGAGCATTAGCTACCTCCTCTCTCAGAATCCCTCTACAGGGCCTGTGACATGGTTTGGTGTGAGGTGTCCCTGCCCATGGCAAGGGGGGTGGAACTAGATGATCTTAAGGTCCTTTCCAACCCTAACTATTCTATGATTCTTTAATTCCTACCATGCTTCTACCACCAGCCTCCACTATAAGGATAATCCTTAGTTTCTCTCTAGCAGAGAGAAATGTAGCAACTTTTTGCCACCAGTTTTTGGTTACTCAAGTATAGAAGAAAAGACAAATTATTTCTCTCCCTCAACCTTGCAATGGACACTATCAAAAGCTTCATTTCCTCCTGTAACTACCTATATCTTTGGAAAGAAGTTCTAAAACATGGTGATTCTGAACTGATGATAGTTTAAGAGGAAACCCATAGAGTTTCTAACTGGTTTCATTCCACATGTTAACTACAGAGCTGACCTACTGAAACTGAAGCAGAGATGAGAAATATCATGCCTAGTTGTTACAGAACAGATGCCAGGTTGCAGAAATGCTGATGTACTGACTATAGTCACACTTTATATTATTCCATTTTTACTGTCAGAAATTCAAACAATTCACACAATTAAAATGTACTTACACACATCAAATTGGTTTTATTCATTGCCATATTATTGTTCACAAAGTGAATACCAGTAAGAATGAAAAACATAAGATCAGGCCTATATATCCAAAAATTAAAACTCCAAAGGGTATATGAAATATTATTCATTTTCTCCAGGGAAAAAAGTTTTCATTTTTAGGGAATTGTGAACTAGACAATAGTAGAGTAAAAATCTGATTATGAAACATGTTGATTGTGAAAATTATATACAAACCAGACAATAGTTCTTTTATTTCGGTATCTACATCACCTGTATGAAAATCAGGCCCTGAGAATATATAGAACCTTACATATGTGTTGAAATAAGACAGTGTTATCTTGCCTGAAAAGCAATATAGAAAGAAGAGTCAATTCTGGAAAATTTAGCTACAGTGAAGAAAAGGTATTCTTCCAAAATATAATGATGGAAAAGACAGGTATATGGCTTTTTAAAAGAAAATCTACTGAGATTTTCTGTCAGTTCTGATATGCAGAGAACATAGAAAAACCACCTTCAAAAGTCAGCATGACACTCCATTTCCTAATTTTTCTGCTGACACTGAGACTGCATAAGAGGAAGTTGAATAAAAGCTGACAAACTCCAAAGTTCATCATTTTCTGAAAACCCTGTTCTTCTTAGGACCTTCTTACTTAAGCAGGAACACAACAAATATTGTCACTTCATAATAAAAATGAGTATTATGGAAATACCTAATAAAGTTTAAGATTGAGCTGTTGAAGTGAAAATGAAAGGCATTTTATAATGCAGTGATACATTATCCCACATAACTGCAAGAAGAGATGTATTTCTATTTTCATAGGCTAACGGAAATAAGGATTGTAGGTTCTCCGAATTTTCATTGAAACTGATTTAATTTTGATTGGCTTGTTGTTCATTGTCCATGTATCCCAGTGAATCCCAGTTGAAAGAAATCTACCTGTGTAGCGATGAACACCATTGAGATTTGCAAGGCCGCACTGGTTGAACCACCACCCAGTGTTATCACTGAAGTTACTGCAGCTCTTTACAGGCTGCTCTTTAATAGTGCACATTGGCCTGCATCCATCATTATCAACATCAAATGTGCTGAAAGGCATTGAATTCTGGTTATCTTCTTTTCTGTGTCCTCTAAATGCGTCACCTAAGTACCACAGATAAAACAAGGATGAATGGAAGAGTTATTTATGGAGAAGCATTTCTTAACTTATGGCATACCTCACAAACTTTTCTTCTGCATTTATAAGAAAAAGAGATTTCTTCAAAAGCAGTTCAACAGCATCAAATAACGAACTGGCAGTGTGTAAAATGTGGGAAAGAAAATGCATAAGATGCTGAGAAGTACGGAAGAAGTTGAAATTCAGTGAAACATCTTTATATTGTTGTTGCTTTTAGTGACATATGCCAGCTATGAAGGTAAAGACTTCTGTCCTTAAAGACAGTGGAAGAAAAGATAAAGGAAATGAAGAGGGCTAAAGGCTTATTAACTTCAGATTTTCCAGTGACGTGCCCAAAGCCCCAGCATGAGTCATGAGGTAAAATGGAATTGTTAAAACATAAAGGTCAGTGATTACTGGTTCCCTTGTCTTACTAAAGAAACAAATACAGGCAGAGTAAAGCACCAACACATTTATAGCATAACTGTTGCATTGGTCATAAGGAACATTATTGCATAATAGTAAACATGCAAAAAAAAAAAAGCAGCAAGACATGGTGCAATACTTAAATCTTTGCACATTTAGTATAATTTATATTCTTTATATTATAAGGGGAGGGGGGGTCTGGAACTGTGAATTAATTTGTGCCTCTATATCAGCCAGTAACTGTTACATACTGCAGACCTAATTTGTTCCAGTTTCTTTGTGCTTCGTATGCCACTGTCTGGACACTGCTGAATTAACCAAAGCAATAATATCAGGAAGACTTCCACTAACATCAGCATATTTGGGATGGAAAGTGGACAGCTAAAGAATTGGACCATTGGTTAGATACACACACACACACACACATAATATCCCTTATCTGTTATACGTATAATCTGTGGACTTTGAATCCATTAGAGTTCCTTTATTTTCTTTATTAATTTTATTTATTAAAGGAGTGTTTATTCAATTATTCCATTAAAGACATTGAAGGAATAGAATAAAATTATTTTTTACTATTTAAAGATTGATGCTGGCATAACCAATTGCTACATCATTAACCGTTTATCTGCATAGTATTCATTATGCAACATAGAGAAAAATATATCAGAAATACACATTTTTAAAGTTATCTTAAATATTACTCTTTCAAATGCATTTTTTCACATTTAGAAAGGGAGCAGCTATCTTTAAATACTTTAAAGAAGGAGGTTCTTACCAGCATTTCCTGAATAACGCCCCAAATGGATCTTAAAAGAACACGCTTCATCTTCTATCCAAAATCCATCATATGATGCATAGGCATGCTTATCATTTTCTGATTCCAAATCCACATAAAGACGGAAACTAGTGGCCTTTTGATTTACTATGTGAAAAATCTTCCTCAATCCAAGCCAAAATTCCCCTAAGCCAGAAATATAGTCAATAAACTTCTAGAGATGGAAAATGTAAGAGAAAAAATTGATTCTTTTAGTTCTGCTTTCCTTCCAAACCAAGTTTAATAAAATTTGAATGATATGCTTATATTTCTTTGAAAGACTACTAAAGGTACAGAGTAATCTTCATACTTCAATGGGAAATCCATGGAAATAATTTCTATGTGTGCATCATCTTTTTTCTCTGTGATGTATTTAGAAAATTGCCCACATGATAACTTTCAAGTGTTCATCTTCAACAGTCCTTATAAGACCACAAAACCTGGGTGTGCTAAAGATCCACTTCATTAAACAGAATTCAGTAGCATTCCTAAGGGTAAAACTGAGAACTGATGAATGTTAGCATTCCGTTAAATGCAACAAAACTCAAACCCTTTTCTCGAGGTTTGCTGCCTCTGTAACTCACACTGTTTTCCATTAAAGTTTTCCCCAATATTAGCTGTACTTTTTTTGTATAGCTGGAAAGTTGTGTGCTTCCACTGCAATCCCAGGTAAACTCCTGAAAAGCAACTCAGTTTACACTTGCTGGATGGAAGGTGTCAGTAAAAAATTCATATCACAGTTGTGTTGATATTACCTACTGAAATCTTTCCATTCTGTTTCCAACTTCATACGCCCTATGTTGAAATATTACTGATTTCTTCCTGCTTTAAGGAAATATGTCACAAATGTGATTAAAACCAACTAAAGCTTGAGGTTTTTTAAGCTAAAAAAAGGGAAATTTAATATTTACATTCTTTCAGGAAGAAAACATAATAACATTTCAAACAGCTCTTGTGAGACTGAAAATGGGCAATGGCTAAAGGCTCGAGTAGAGTGATAGTCATTATTGAGAAGGTCACACAATAGGTTTGATTAAAGAAATCTCTTAAGTATAAATAAGACTTTTAAGAAACAACTTTGCTCTCTATCCTGCTAAAAATCCCACACAGTTTAGTGAAATGTAGCTGACATAAAGACAGCAGAAGCATCAGGTCCAAAACACTTGAGAATATTTAAAATTAGTACCAGAAAGGCCACCAAATCCATCCAGATATTCAGACCATGTTCTCTGGAATGGAATGATTCCGTCAGTTCTTTTCTGAATCACGGTCCATCCACCTCCTTGAAAATCCATGTCACACAAAACCTAAAGCAGACATAGATATGATTAAGCATTCTTGAAGCAGCTGTTATGAAAGCAGTGTAATTAAATAAAGGTGAACAATTCAGAGTTTTGCTAAGCAACACACCTTCCAAATATCTTAGCAAAAAGCTCAAAGAAAATAAAAAAATAAGCAGCAGTATTTTCTTATATTTTCTCAACTTAATACAAGTGCCTTCTCATATCAGATATGATAAATAAGCTTTGATAAATGTTACTGTATATTAATAATATCATGAAATAGAAGCAACATGCACTGTCAAATATCAATTGTGCAAAATATCCCAGACACAGGAACTAACACTAAATATACTTTTATTTCAGCAAAACAAAATAGACACAACTTCCTTACCATCATACCATCTTCCCCAGAAACACTGTGTTTGTGATGCCTGGGAAATGTAGAGCCCTTTATAGAGATGAGGAAATGTAAAAAGTGATAGCAGTAACCCAGTATATAATAATTTATGATGGAGCAGCAAAAAAACTCTACATAAGAAGGGGCTCCAATTCAGGGAACTCCTGATGTGAACATTTAACAACCTGCAACTGAGTAGTCCCCCTGAATACATAAGATCAACTCTCAAATGTATCAGTCTTTGCTAAAATTTGTTCCCAACAGCATGTCAAAAGGCAGTGGTCCAGCTGCCCTGTGCTCTGCTGTGGAGTATCACATTATGTGTTACATTTTCCCCTCAGCCCATTTAACTTTAGACACATAATTGAGTTTCCTAAGTTAGGAATCTTATTGCCCTTATCTTCCCTCTAATCCCTTTTAAATGAACAGAGAAATGTTCATTCACAGCATGGCTCTGGGAAATCAAGATCTAAATCACCCTCTGCGGGTGCTGGTCACCTCCACTGTTTACAAAAAAGGCCCCTAGACCCTTAGGGATTTCAGCTAAATGCCTAGTTACCTAGAATGTATCCAGGTCACTTTGGGTATTTTTCAAGTATGTCCCCAGTGCCAGAGTTTAACCAGTCCAACAGGGATTAAGAAGTCTGGGCACCCTAATGTAGAAAGGTGGATATTTCACTTTCAGTCACTGCAACACCTAAGCTGTTCCAACTAGTTCTAGGGGATGCTATGCTTAATTAGTGTTTAAAATCAGAGGCTCATTTGTAAGTGTCTCCCAATGTGACTAATAACAGGACAATTAACCTGGAAAATGCTTATAGCTATGAAGCCATAAAGCTACTTGTGATAACAATGGTAAATTCAGAATAGAATATTGGCTATTAGTAAATAGTAACAGTAAGCAGATGCACAAGAGATGGAGTAAAGTAGGAATTTTTTGCTTGTGTTACAGAGAATGCACAAAATGAAACACGTTTCAGAGAAGACAGATTTGCAGTCTTAGCTGGTTGCTAAAAGTAGAGTCTAGGTGGAATTCAGCAGCAGTCTGGGCTTTATCTGTTGCACCCCCATGGCTTATATCAACCAGATATTTTTCATGAAACCAAAACTTGTTCCGTGGAAGGAACATATCAACATCATATCCAGAACTGCTGTGACTTAATATCATCTTCCTATGAATTATGAGAAAGCAACAGGACAGAGCTGCGATTGTGTTCTAATACAACCTGAAGAATCTTGGTTCTTTAAGTAAGTCAATGCTATTGGATGCTTTAAGCAATCCTTGCAACACAAATTCTGAATGAATCATAGTAAGTCATGTGCATGAAAGAAGATGATGGGCTTTATTCCCTGGAGAATGTCATGCTTATTTCAGTCACCCAAGGAGGGTTGAACTGGAATAAAAAGAAACACAGAAGATTCCAAAGTGAATATTTAAATGTAAATACCTAAAACTCATTAAAAATAATCCCATTGCCTCATCTGCTGTCTAGAGAAGATGATTGCATGCTTGGCTATTCCTCTCACTATGAGTCAGAAACACAAAAAGGAGCCCACTTGGTCACAACATCCATCTTCAGTCCAGTATAAATCAGTGGGAGTGTTGATAACTGACAGAAGGAGCAGATTTGGTTTTTCATGAGAGGTTATCAGACAATTAGATATGGCACCGGAACATACATCAGCCAAGTAAAAATATGAGATAGATATACAAAAAACAGTGATTGCTGTGTAGTTTTTTATTCTCTTATATACTGGAAATGATGTAATTTTCTTTCCGTAAGCCTTATAATAGTTAATGGACTTTAGAGCTTGTTCTAGGCCTCATATTGTGTAAGGTATGAGGGGCATGATTGTGCTAGGAACATTTAAATTAAATGAGCAGGAGGATGCTGCTAATGAATATTTCCTCCCTTTCCACCTTTAGTGTGCCCAAGAGATATATTCCAAACAGCTGTTTAGTTTGTCTGACCCACCTTAGAAATATCATTGATCTAAATTTACTTTTCTGAGATGACAAGAACCTACCACTACCACTGAAACTGGATATTTTTAATGCTCCTGGAATTCAAGTTTCAATTATCTTGAGTTAACCATCAGATTAAAAACTTGCTTTTGAAAACATGGGGCTTCAAACATGAAAACATGAGAACAGTATCAAGTTGTCTAAATAGTTTTCTTCATTAATCTCGTATCTTCATGCAAATTGTTCTAAAGGTATTTGGGTTTGTTTCATTTACATTTAAAGGCATCTTATTGCTGACAAGGTCCTCATTGAAGTGGTTTTTTCCTGCTCACTTCGCTTTCAGCTTTTTAGGTTCTTACTGTGATTTTCTGTCTCTTCGTATTTTTCGTATTTTGCTAGTCTGCAGAACTTCCAGAAGTCTTGGGTATTCACCCCTTAAAATGCATTGCAATTCCTTGTTTGTGTTTTAATGTCTTGAAATTTTTGTTCATCTGTAATTTCTCTTGTACCTTTTTTACAGTTCAACACATGGAAGAATTTGCATTAAAGAGTTTTCCTTGAAATAGCATTCTTTATGGAACACACATATTTTAGATTATTTTCTCTGAGAACTTTTTGGCACTGTCTTTTCAGTCCTGTGTACCATTTACCAGACAAGAAATTAGACACTCATTTCATGAGTGCAGATGTTTCTTCTCATTGTTTATTGTTACCTTGTGCTTTTAATCAAATCATTATTATTTTTCTTTTTGTTTCTTCTTCTCCTTAAAGAACCTTTCCACTCATATAACTGATTCTCACATTCTGGCAGTAACTTTAAGTGTAGAAAAGTGTCCAAAATACTTTTGAAGTGAAAGGACAGGTTTTGTAGCATTCTGTAGAGTTCCAATTGGCTAGAGATAAAGGGACTCATCCTTCCTTTGTTATATATAAAGGCTATAAAGTTAGATATTAAATTTTACTATTTATTAGCTGGCTTAAACTCCACATTTTTTCCCAAAAACTAATGACCCCAGCATGCGTTGTAAAATTAAAGGTCTGAAAGTGCACTCTGTCTTTCCACTGTGCATAAGGGGCTTCTCTAAGTAGAACAACCCAAAATGGAAAGAAACAGACAAAACAAAAGATTCTTTGTGTTTGCATGGATCTCAGTGTCCTGAGTCTGGGGAAGTTAACCAAAAACCTTTTTATCATAAATAAGCACTATAATTCCAAGCGATTACAGAAAATGCAGGTGGTGATAGGAAGCATGGCTGCTGCAGTTCATGCTGAATTTCATCCTTTTATCTTTAAGAATGTATATCCTGAAAACTGGATTTGAAAACTGAAAGTTTAGGTATCTCTGTGCCTCAAGACTTGAGTTATAATGATGCTCAGACAAGTGATAAGCACCTACTCCTCAAACTAATGTACATCTGCCCCTATATTTAGGTGCGTATACAGTATCATGGTCCAAGCTATAGGCATCAACAGTCACTTCTCAAGAGAAGGCAATGCTCTACAGTCAGCAGAATAATTCAGAAAGCCAACAGTCCCATTTTAGGAGCCAGATGGAACAGTCACTTGGCTCCTTAATTTTCCATCTCTAAACCAGAAAAGAGCAGCGCTCCTCAGTGTCCAAAGGGGTGCTGGGAAATACTTTGTTTTTTCCTTTTTGGTACAGTTTTCACTGTATATAAAATCTGATGATGGGATCTAATGACAGAAATCAAATTTCTTTCTAGAAAATAAGAAACTCATCAAAATTATAGTAATAGCAGACACATTTAGATTATTTCATATGTTTCTTATTCATCTGATGAGAAGTTGTCAAGGAAAATACATTAAATCTATTAAATATATTCTAAGTGCATATTCTTAAGCAAACTGTGACTATCCTGAGAGATTAATTTATTACCTCAAAAGGATAATTTGATCCTTCTGGATGGATAATGTACAGACCAGTTGGAGTTTTTGAAACTGAACCAACAGTATCTTTAATATCAGTGCAATCCAAGCCTAGAGAACAAAGTATTTGATGAAGTTCATTAGCAAAATATGTTAAAACAAAAACAACAAAAAAACCCACACATATTCAAGTTAATCACAGAAAAGTACTTTCTTGGAAATATCTGAATAATTTCAAATAGCATTTTCTTGCCATGCAAACTTTAAAATCATGTTATCGCACAAATTTACCTTGTAAATGAAATTTCTCTGAACTCCATTAAACGCAGAAAGAAATATAAATTATATTGAAAATAAGAGAATTCATTCTAATTTTAATGGAAATGATACAGAAATTAAAGATTTTGAATCTGGGTCATTTTACAGATTTTATTTGGGTAACACTTGTTACTGAGAAAAAGACATTATCTGGGAAAGGATGTCTTTTCCTGCAGATATATGTATTTATTTGTAAAAGCCTTTACATTGTAATGTATACATTATAAATCCCTTGCTTTTAAGTGTTAAACCAGGTCTGTGTTAAACATACTCAAACAAGCAGTTCCTACGGCTAGTGGGACTGCTTAGAGGTAATGTTTCCTTTAGTTGGGATGGACAGTATGAGGAAAATTGATTGTCCTGTGTTCAAGTAATTTTGATCACATTTAAAGGATATTACAAATGCAGAGCACACTTCATTGCAAAAGAAAATTCCGTCTAGCAACATCTGATCACTTACAAACTGATGGTCATACCTGATATGCTAAACAGTATGCTCAGAATTACCAGTTGTAAATGATTTAAAGCAGTCTTTACGATGACATTCTTAAACAGATCGCAAATTGTCTAGGGTTTATATGTTATGAACACAGAATAATGTAAATGTTATAATTGCTTCCCTTTGCTTTAATTAGCACTCTGTCAAGATATAAAGATAAAAAAGCAAGAGACCAAGACTAAATGCAAAATATACCTACCATGAGACTGAACTGCTTTGTAAGGAAGTGGATCCAAATGCTTTCTCAAAACTTCTGCATTCAAAAGAAGAAGTCTGTTCATGACTTCATTTACCTGCAAATACAAATAGAAAATCTTTACTTTGGTTGCAATGAAGATTTTTACATTCTTAAAGATATTATTTTTTACTCCTAGTAAATATAATCCAAAGTTCATTTTTGTGATGTGCTAGTGATTTGCACCTTCATTAGGTACAATGGTCTTTTTTTAACAAAAAAAAATATTTTATTTTTTAACCAAAAATATCATTTTTAGGATGATTTGCAATGCCAGATAATTGCAAAGAAGTCCTTCAGTTTGAATAAGGCGTTTTATCTGTAGCAAATGATACACAGTGTTTGTAAACTATTATGAGAGTTAACAGTAACATAATACATCATCCCAACAAATATGACAGAACTGGAGTTAGTCACCAATGTGGATCAAGTGGTGCTTATCACTCCCAGTAGAAATGGAACTCACACCCTATCCAAGATATAAGGAATGGTGGTAGAGACTCTAATTCTACTGTTTTAACAACAATATAAATGCTTAATTTTCCTCAGTTAGACAATACCTGCAGTGATAAGTAATAAATAAAAATCTTTATGATAAAAGTACCTGATTAGAAAGGTAGTCCAAAGAAGACTGTTGATCATCCATCATGTTCCTTACCATTTTTTTTGTGCTTCTTGCATATTCAACAAGTGAGTTCTGCAAATTTCCTTTAAAAGAAATATGTTCATCCACTTTGTAACCATAAATCTAGAAATATTCTTGACTGAACAATGACACATTTATGATATCTAAGTGAATATTGAAGGTGTTTAACCTCAGCATACTTAAAAGTGAAACCATAGTACAGAGACCACAGATTAAAGCCAAAGATGCTAAAAACCTCAACTTCACTGGTTGCAGGGAAGACATTTTAAGAAGTGACGCTGTTCTTTAGATTTGAAGAATTTAATCTTATCCTTGAGCAAGTTGGATTACCAGTTAATGGATATCAGAGCAATACAAATGCAAATGATAAAAGACAAATACATAAGACATTCTGTCATCCTACATTTGCTCATTCACTCCTGGGTCTTATCATGATGCTAAAAATTAAAACAAAAAAAAAAAAACAAACAAACCTGACAGGTAATTAACAAAATATATTAAAAATCATATAGGAAATACAATGATTTTGACTTTTTTTTTTTTTTTGAAGGCTGATTACATCCTTTGCTGTGTAGTTTGTCAAGGCAATGAGTATCTACAAAAGGCAAACTGAGGTTTAGATTTTCTCCCACTTTAACTAGCTAGCTAACTAGCTAACTAACTAACTAACTAAGTAACTAACTAACTAAACTAAATAACTCCCACTTAACTCCCCCACACCTAACTATGATGTTTAAATGATGGACAGACACCCTCCTCTTCTTTAATGGAGAGAGCTACTAACATTCAGAGTAACACAGACCTAGGCAGGTGGAGCTGCTGCCTGGATTTGCCTGTCTTGATCATGATTACAGAGACTGGCATGATTATACTTCAACTTTCTTGCACCAGCTGCATCCCAGAAACACAGCACCCCAAATTTTCTGAATGCTCAGCCTAGGCAGCAGCATCAAGGACTGTCACATGTGCTCAAGAAGATGAAAAAATACATCAGCACAGCATAGCAGAGCAGAGCAGAGGGTTGCATAGCATGGCATTGCGTAGCTTGTTGCTGAGAGTATTCTTTATGAATACATACTGCACATGTAATGTTTTTCGCCTCGTAAAATTTTAGCTTGAACATCACATGGTACAAGGCATTGGTCTTTTTGTTTTGAAATATCTGCAGATTTATTTTTCTCTTCTGCCTTGAGTGGTTCCTCCACAGCTCCAACATTCCTTGTACCCTGTTGTACCAAACAATGGAGGGGGAAATAAATTGATCATAAAGCATATATAAAATGTCTCAGGCTGCCAAAATGAAGTAAATGATTACTCCATGGGTCTTCCTTCAAAACCTGGGGTTTTTAAAGCTTTATCAAGTTATAACTGACAGAGCTGAGACCAAGGCCTGTTAGGTGTCTTCTCTTTAGCCATACCATGCTAAAGAAAGAGTGTCAGAATAAAGAATAACCTCTATAAATTTGAAAAATACCAACAACATGTCTGGTATTCTACCAGAGCTCTGTAAAATGAGGCAATAACTTGCAAATCTTGCATTTAAGAACTCATATTTTAGGAATCACCACACCAAACAGACATCTTGAATACTAACAAAGTTATTTTCATTGGAAAGGAGCAGTCTTTTGGATTTACAACATATTAGAAAAACATTTTTACTCTTGAAAGTCCCTAAATTAATTACTTGGATTCTGGTCATGGAAATACTTGCATAAGGTATTAATCTATGCACACAAGCAGTCCCAAGCAGATTTGGTTCTTAACATAAAAAAAATATTTTAAATGTTCTTATAGAGGAAAGAATAAAGGGACACTATTTGCAGGCACACAATTATAAACAATAAAAGTGTTGGTTAAAGAAGTTACATATATTAATTTTCTTTCAAAATAATATTTTCATACTTAATATATTTTTTCTTTCCTGGTGCTGTGTGAGAGAAAATACGGGAATGCCTCTGACTCATCACTTACAGAAATACTAAAAGTAATTCCTGAGATATTTGTCATTGTCAAAAGACTAAGAAATTCATTTGAGCCTTTGTTGATTCCATAATCACAGCAAAGCTTTGTTAATATACTGTATTTTCAAGTGTAAATAGGAACCTTAGAAAAATGAAGACCTTAATGAAAAAGAAAAGTCATTTAGACTTCATTATATCTTCAAAACACTTGTTCTCCTTTCCTGCTTCAGATTTCTTTTTCTGGTTTTTGCACTACACTGGCAAAGCACTGAATAGGGTTTTTTTTCTGACTTTTGCTTTTACAAAGTGTAAGTAGAAATTAAATAAAACTGTTAACAAGGAGATTTTATATAAAAAAAAGTTTCTGAATTATTAATATAATTGCAATTTGGGACTGGAGATAAATGATAGAGAACTAAAAGAACGTTTTCTTTAATTTTGAAATAAGCACAGAATAAAGGAAGAAAAATTGACTTGAAGATTATGAACAGATCACTCAGAACTCTTGATTTGTTCCAGGGCTTTATCACAGCTCCTCACTACATGTTCAATTAAATGCTGTCGAGCAAATATTTTCAATCAATATTTACTTTCAACAAAAGCCAACATGAAACAGGCAATTAAAGCTGACCTCAGCAATTCAAGCAAAAACTGTGACTCTGCCAAAACCAATAGTTATTCTGCATTTGTTCATGCAGATGAGATTAAAAATATGGCCTAACAACAGGGCTGTGATGAAAGTAAATAACACACAACTGTTCTAATTCTGATTTCCTACAGTTTGAATGTTGTTTCTTTTCTCTGTCTAGAAACACCTGATTGTTCTGTGTTTTCCTGCCTACTCTGAATAAAGCAATATACAGTTTCAAAACATCTGTCGCTTTTCTGAGAAATCATTCAGTTACATTCAGTATCTTATCTAAGCAAAGGAACTGAAAATCTTACCTTAGATGAACAAGGCTTGACTTTATTTATGACAGTCTCTCCTAAACCAAACAAACAAATATTGAGACAAATCAGTGAAGCTACCCCAAAGCAGTTCATCTTTTACTTGAAGAAATGCAAACGTTTTGAAGGGTTTCAAATTTCTGTGGAAAGAATTGTACACTATGAAGTCCTGAGCTAACTATTTGGGAATGTCTGCAGCACAAAGAGCAGCCAATACTCCTTTAACTCCTGGATTTAATAAAGCATGTTTCAATTGCGCAGTAGATTTTATATACTACTGCTTGTATCCTGAGAGCAATTACTGCTCATCACCTCTACATGACACGTCAAACATATGTATTTTCACTGTGATAAAGCTGACAGATTTTCTTATGCACTATTTTTGAGCATTGGTATATATCTGGCACTGAGTAGTCTGGCCTATTTGAAAGGAAAACTAGTATGGATTAATGTTTTCACCTTTCGCAAAGGTTTTTAGCATTAAAATGAAGGTGTTTATATTGGTGTGATGGTAGTGCACTAGAACAGGCTGTGGGGGCAATTTTAGAATATGTTCTAAAAGGAGATTCAAATAGAAAATTGAAAAATATTACTTTCAAGCAATACTTTGTACTACATAGAAACTTGTTTACCAGGAGGACAAAAGCAGTCTCTTGGTCTCACTAGTAGCCCATCTGTACTGTGAGACAATCATTCAAATACCTGAAGACTGTTGAAGTATAAGAGAATGTGCTGAAAAAGAAAATTAAATGTAGTCCACAGAAACTTAATTAAAGCTATGAGGTAATTACAGTTTTCATACACTCAAATGCACTCTTTTTGTATCTTTAAAACTGGGTCTGATATTTTAACCAAAAAGCAAGTTACTTGGAAAGTTAATTTGGAAAGTTCATAAAGATCCAACAGATTTTCAATTCCTCGTGCACATCAGAGAATTAAAATTGTTATCTGGCTGAATAAATGAAACTTCAGATTCTAATGTACTGTTGGAGATACTTTGTCTAAAGAATCATCAGAATCTACTGCTCAGCATCACCTTGCACTGGTTCAGCCAGACGATGTTCCAAATTGGTCTCGATACTGAGGTTCATCTCCAGCCCTGTCTGAAGCTGGAATACACTGGAAATAGCTTGTAATACAAAAAAGATTCGAAAGCAACTGGGGGACAGGGATTAATACAGTTTTAAATCCAGTTTTTAATACAATGTTTACTTCCACTTAACAGCTGAAGGCGACTAAGAACCTGTATCTGGCCTCTCCCTGAGAGGAGCATGCTCAACTGTCTGTGAAATTTTTAAGAACTTAGGTTCTTCAAAATATCTCAAAATGTTTTTTAACTTGTTCTGACATACCGCATGGCACATCATAGCTTTCTGATATAAGAATTACTAGAATTTAACTAGTGCATCAGTTGACGCTCTCTCAAGAAGATGCAGGTTGTGATCCACAGTTCAGTCTCAGGAAGAAGCTGAAAAGATTTTATAGGCTACTCATATATGACATTAAATGGGAAAGAACAGTTTTCATTCCTCTTTATATGCACAGAAATCAGAAGAGGTGACAAATTTCAGGAACGAATGGTTAAAGTGATCAGAACATGGACTGACCTCCCTCTTCCACGCAGTCATCTACACAGTTAAACTGAAGCTTGGAAGAAAGCTAAAGGGCATTAGCAAATTAATCCCCCAGTGGAAAAAGAAGAAAGAAAAATGAGTTTCTGCAGCAGCATAGCTATGCTTCAGCCTTCAGATAAGTTCTGTAATAAATTCAGAATCTATCCCACAAGGATTTGAGAGCTGATCTTTATCCTTGAGTGGAATATCAGTCTCTAGCCCACAGTAAAAATTATGAAACTGTTTTCAAACCAGCTGCCAGAGTGGGACCTTCCATTTTGTAACCGTTTGATACCAGGATGTGTGCTGTCCCAGAATAATCATACAGTTCTGAAATACATGGTCCTCACTCATCACCTTTTCATCCCAGAGCCTGAAAGATGTGAGGTTAGTCAAAAGGAGGAATTATAACCATAAAGGAGGTCTATGAATGAGAAAAAGGTAAAACCAAGAAAGACAGAAAGTTATATATATACACTATCCTTAATTCTGAATTTCAGAAGGTATCTAAGGTGAAGCTGTGAGTTACACTGGATAAGATCAAAATTTGCTGGTCTGAGCTGCCACAGGCATTGGAACAGGCTTCCCAGGGAAGTGGTAGAATCATCATCCCTGGAAGTGTTCAGAAACCCTATAGATGCCCTCAGTGACATGGTTTAGAGGTGGACTTGGCAGTCCTGGGGTAATGGTTGGACTTGATGATCTGAAAGGTCTTTTCCAACCTTTGATTCTATGATTCTATGAACCTGAATCTTCCCAGATGTGACAGACTCAAGTTCTGGAATTGTTTCTAAGCTCTGCTTCAGTCCTGTTGGCGTGACTCCACACTGGTAAAAACTTCTACTGCTTCCTAAATGAAGCACTGCAATTTTTCAGGCAAGCTGGGATTTTTAAAGTGTATGTGGATTGAAAGGTAGTGAAGTGACAACCAGTCTTATACGTGCAACACAGAAGAGCTCAGACTGGGCAAAGAAGTGGTGAATTTGGGCCTGTTATTCTGAATACAGGTGAAAATCTTCCATTTTAGGGTCATCTCAACTGTGGTGACTGGGGTATTATAAATAATACCCCATAAATATAAATTAAGCAGATTTGTCAACCTGAGCATCAGTGGGCTTGCCTGTAAAATGGCAATAGTAACACTTCACAGGCTGTGCTACAAATATGGACGTGAGTCTGCGGGGAAAAGTATTTTACAAATGCTGAGTACTATTTTTACCCTCCTATTCAACAGCTGCACACTGAAAAAGAGAAGAATTGGTTGAAGCTCAAATACAACAGCCAAGAAATGTCTCGCCATGAAATCACCGAGACATTTAGCCTTCTGATGACAGCTCATCCAAGGCATGGCAACATCCCAAGACACCACACCCTGCTTTGCCTGAAAAAAAAAAAAAAACCAAAAACAAACCAAACCACCCACACATTTTGCAGTCTTAAAAACTTTTTTTTTTTTACTTTGTGTAATTTTATTTATTAAAAAAAAACTGCAAAACTAATGGGAAACGTTATTTGTTTGGATATCGGCTGGTTTGTTTGTTAGTTTTAAAAGGCACTTTGTTGTTTATGCAAGTGCAGACAGGATGGAAAGCCTGGCGAGGGTTCCCGCAGTGGCGTGCCTGAAGAAGCGACAGACACAGAGGGTGCCGGCGGCGGAGCGAGATGCGTGCGCCCGGTTTCCACCCAGGGCCGGGCACCGCCGGGCACCTCGAGGCCCGGCCCCGACGGGAGCGCTCCCTTCCGGGGGAGCCTCAACGGCTCTGAACCTCGCGCCCGGTTCGAAGGCTTGTAACTGGAGCTCCAGGCGAGCCGCGGCCGCTCCTGGCCTCCCCTGAGCCCTTCCCTACGCTCCCTCACCCGTTGCCCGCCTCCCCTCGGCCGCGGCCCAGCCCCGTTGCGAAGGAAGCGGCGTCTCCGGTTGCTATGGCACCAGCGGAGCGGCCCGGCGACCGGCTCTGGCCACGGCCCCCTGCGGTGTGAGGCAGCAGGCCCGAGGAGCTGAATGGAGCCCGGACGGACGGGCGGCGGGGCTGCGCGGGGGCAAATACCCGCCGGAGGGCTCCAGGACAGCGCGGGTGGGACGTGGCGCGCTGCTGCCGTGTATCCTTCCGCGGTCGCCGCCGTGGCCGGGAAGGCTGGCGCTCGGGTACGGCTGGGGGCGGCCCGCGGAGAGGCAGGGGCCGTGCCGGGAAGGGCAGGAATGAGGCCTCGGGCAGCCTGGAGTCCGTGTGGGGCGGCGGCGGCGGGTTTGGGCCGTGGCGAGGGATTGCCTTAGGGGTGGATCGAAATAAAACTGGCACGTTGGTTTCTTAAAGCGTTGTAGGGATGTTGACTTCTCAGGCGAGTTTTCTTGTGTTCCCCCTTGTAAGTGGAACAGGTTGAGAGAACTGGGCTTGTTCAGCCTGGAAAGAGAAGGCTCTGGGGAGACTTAGAGCAGCTTCCAGTACCTAAAGAGGCCGACAAGAAAGCTGGAGAGGGGCAGTTTACAGGACAAGGGGCCATGGATTTAAACTGGCAGAGGGGAGATTTAGGTTAGACATTAGGAAGAAATTCTTTACTGTGATTACGGTGAGACACTGGCACAGGTTGCCCAGAGAAGCTGCGGCCGCCCCATCCCTGCCAGTGTTCAAGCCAGGTTGGATGGGGCTTTGAGCAAACTGGTGTAGTGGAAGGTGTCCCTGCCCGTGGCAAGGGGGCTGGAACAGAATGAGCTTTATGATCCCTTCTAAACCAAACCATTCAATGACTCCATAAGGAGATTCTGCCTTTGGGAATTGTATTTTCCACTCCAACTTACAGATCCTTATTTCCTTGAATTTTAAGTAATAAGAAATACTGACGAAGTTCCAAGCTCTGCCTGTACCATGCTACGTCAGTCATAACCGAAGTGAGGACAGATCATGCTCTTTGGAGAGCTTTTATCCAGCGATACTAACGAATGTCAGAGTAAACTAACCATTTAGATAGGGATTGTTTTTACTATTGAAACATTTTCACTGTGATACATGTATCCATATGTTATCAATTTAGATAAAAGAAAGATGCTTGTCCAAATAAGCAGATAAAGGTGAGATTTTTCATCTTCTGATACCATGAAAGATGATTGCAAAGCCTTTTAAAATCACTGTAAACAGTAAAATGTAATGACTTTTTTTTTTTCTGGATGAACACAATGTTTGTTATGACTATAATATACAACTACGGGATCAACTGTTGTGTATTTTGTATCTCATGCATAAAGTTTGCCCTTTCCTGAACGGTATGCAGTCAATCAGGCTACTATATCCTTTAATGAGATGTTTGATGCAGTTTCCATTGCCCTTAACACAATACTAGGGACAGAGCTTTAACATTTCATTTTGAACAAGATTTAGCAGAAGAACGCCGGGCATTGAAAGAAGATCAAAAAATGTGTCGGAGTAGGGCACAGAAATATTCAATAGAGACAAACAGAAGAAGAAGGTAAGTAACTAGGGTTCCTTTGGTGGGAGATTGTAAAAGAGAAAAATGAGTCAAAGCCTTTAGACAGTTCAATATATTTCTGTTATTTGCATGTTCACTTTGTTAAAGAGCCCCACTGCTTTGTTCTAGAGAAAACTAAGCTGAAAAGTTTCACCAATCCAGTTTCATGCTATAGGACAAATAAACCATAAAAAGAATATTCTGGTTTACTCACTACTTTTTGGAAACTCACTGTAGTCACTCCTGACTGTATAAAGTATAGGTATGTAGCACTTTCAGCTTGTGTCTCTGACCTGTATTTCTGGTATTGTTCTGGTTTTTATTAGCTTCAATGCCTGTCTGAAAAATGTGTTCAGGGAGACAGTACAGGTCAGAAGGCAGACAGTTGTCATTGCCTTCTGAGGTGGGTGTTTCTCTCTCTGCATGGCATAACAGCCATGCAGCCTCCCCTGCATGGTGGGGCTTTGTGCTCCCACTTCCCAATAAACACAAAGCAATGTGTCTCTTGCGCAGGATTATATTTATATATATAAAATTTATATCTAAAATATATATATATAATTTATCCCATACTGACATTTTTAAAAGAGCTTTGAAT